CATCGTAAGCTATAAATGTATAAAGTATAATTATTATTGTCGAACCTTCATCTAACAAGCTTTGCATTACAATGACCAAAAACAATGTCAAAGATATTTCAATGCTAATTTCTGCTATATCATTACGTTTATTACTGTCTGTCATTGTTTATATTATGTGAAAAGAAATGAAAAATTAATTCGCTCTGTATAGAGCTACTACTACTACTACTACTAGAAGCAATTTAAGAGACATAAGCTTTAAAATATAATTAATCGACTGTTTCTAATTATATATTATATATTATATATTATTAGAACACCAACAAACTACTTTGTCAAACTACTTATCAATGTTGGTGAAGAATGTTGAAAAGATATGAAAGTAAGATACTCAGCTTGTCTCCATGACAACGAAATTACATCGGCACCCAATTCCCATGTCCTAATACTCCCAGAATGTCATTAGCTTCAAACTATTAATTTGCATGGACCTAATGAAATGGATTTTGAAGGGATCTAGCGGTTGCATTTACCTACAGTACCTGTGATATATTCGAACTTGCTTTCTGTAAAAGAGAGAGAGAGAGAGACAAAGAGAGAAAGAGAGACAGAGAGATGGATAACAATTAATCTATGGTGTTACTGCAGGGAACGAGTTATATGGAATTCATTATTGTTGGTAATTGAGTGCTTTTGTTTTATAATGACTTGTTAACAGTGGGACTTCCCCTGAAGTTTCCCCAAACCACATAATATACTAAACTTTTTATTCATTGGTTTCGAAGAAAGCTCAGATGCACGCACGCAAAAGTATACATTTTGAAAAATCTTTGAATCCACAAAACATTCCCGGGGCTTGCCTGACATAGCAACAAGTAATATGTGCGGACTGGATTTCAAGTGTTGTAGTTGAATCTGACATCAATAACAGGTTAATGGAATAACTCGTCACTAGGTTCCTAGGAGAGAAACACCCTTACAAATTGATTAGGTTAGTAAACCGGTACATTACGTCGTATAAGTTTCTTCAAAATCTTCAAAATAGATGCAGCAAATGATCGATATGGTAATAATGGCTATTCGATCGTATGCAATATTCGCTGCCTATGGCAAAGAGGGATGACTAATGTGTATTTTAGCGTGTCCGAACACCTACCCCCTGGACAACCACCCCCAGATAACCACCCCTCGGATAAATACCCCCGGACAACTACCCCAGACAACTACCCCCTTAGACAACTGCCCCTAGAACAACTACCCCAGACAACTACCCCCAGACAACTACCCCCTATACGACAGCCATCCTCTAGGATAACTACCCCTGGACAACTATCCTAGGGGTAGTTGTCCGGAGGTAGTTGTCCTATAGGGGTAGTCTTCCTAGAGGGTGGTTATCCTACGGTTGGTTATCCGGGGTGGTTGTCCAGGGGGTAAGTGTCCTAGGGGTAGTCTTCCTAGAGGGTGGTTATCCTACGGGCGGTTATCCGATGGCTAGTTATCTGGGGTGGTTGTCCAGGGGGTAAGTGTCCTAGGGGTAGTCGTCCTAGAGGGTGGTTATCCTACGGGTGGTTATCCTACGGTTGGTTCACCGGGGTTGTTGTCCAGGGGGTAGGTGTTCTAGAACCCTATTTTAAATATGAAGAAAAGGCAAGCAGTGGGAGGGGTCACAACAAGAAATTGAGGAATGGTCAGAGTGAGAGAGAGAGGGGGAGAGAGAGAGAGAGAGAGAGGTGGGAGAGAGAGAGAGAGAGAGAGAGGGGGGGGGGGGGGTTAGAGAGAGGGAGGGAGAGAGAGAGTCATTGTGAGGGTGTCGTTATTTAACAAAAGTTCTTCCAGTAGGCCGATATTAACTGTTCCTGCAGGAACAGTTAATATCGGTAGTATAACATTTCTGTTTGAAACGCTGATCATGATCGTTCCTCTCCTCCGCCCTTGCTCAAAGGGCCATTATCACGGTTTATGTCTTACATTGTGCTTTCAATTCATACATTTGATACTTAGTTCTGTTTTGTGACGAGAGCTTGGTTCGTGGACAAAGGTTTCAAGCAAATATAATACATTTAAATACTTAAATAAATCTTCGTAAACTCTGTAAATGATAAATATTAAGCAGGACCTACTTTATAAATATTTTCTATTTCCCTGCTTGTGTCATGTTTTAAGTAAACGAATGATTCAAAAGGGCGTATGATATGATGTATGTTTGTGGCTCATAAACGCATTAACTATTCTCTGCTTTGCGACGAGAGCTGGGTCCTTGGAAAAAGGTTTCAAGCAAATATAATAGATATATGTGCGGGAATAGATAATGAAACATTGATATGAATAATGATATTATATGTGGAAGAAGATTTAAGTTGAATGGTACTTAAGTTAAGCCATGCATGGGAGCATACGCATAGTAATGATCGGGCGTTATTTTCTGACATAATGATTAATTACGATTTCCTCATAGTCTAGAACAGATTTGTTTTTAAATATTTAAAAAACAAAAATATATTGTAAAATACGTTTAAATGGGTACAGGATTTTTTTTTTTACTAAAGGAGGTCGAATGTAGAATACAAGTTACAACACAAAAGATAAATAAAAAATGTGTTTGGGGAGGCGATAAAGAGGCAGCTTTCATCGAATCCGTGGATTAGTTTGAATGAGTTATTAAATCAAAATTTGGCTTCAAAAATTCGCGGAAGCTAGTATTCGGTATGATCACGTGTCTGGCATTAATAATCCTTAAATGCATGCGTTTTAATGTGTCTACAGTAGTAATTCGAATCATTCGTATTGATCAACTATATATTGCCAATGACACGAATAATGCAAAAGATAACATCGCCAACATAAATCCCTTCCGTATACGGCGGCCATGATGACTATGTATTCATATTTTGTTTTAAATTGATTGTCATTGAAATCGCTTCCTCTCTCTCTTCACGTTGTACCAAGCGGATTTACTTTACGAATGTGCCCCATTGTGCTTTTAGGGTGATATTACAAACGATGTAGATTAATTATCTTTATGTAACCGTGGTTACAGTGTAAACCGACGAAGATATTAATTCGTGGTGTTATAAGCAGTCCGTTATAGATTTGGGGCGTGTGCCCAATTAATCTTACGTGGTTTCATCTCATTTTGTTTAATTCTAGATAAATTAAAGATAAAGACCAGTTATGGTCATGCGATTGCATTGTGAAAGAAACTTTGATGAACGGCGTTGTGGAATCGATCAGAAAGGTTGATCATCTAGCATATGAGTATTGGTGTGTACTGCAAGGTTCTGGAATCATTAAAATGATAAGATATTTGGCCTAGTCTTGGTAAAGTTACAAGCACTGTACACAGAAAGATGTATATGGGACTATGCACACGTGCGTTATATCTATCAGGTCCAAATAGATATAATAATGTACCTAATATATCAATTAGTAAGCGGTTTCTCGGCATTTGTATGATCACGTATTAGTCAAAACGTATTCTTTCACATGATTGGTAATAAGAGCTTCCATTTCATTTGTTGAGAGGGGGGCGTTTCCAAAACTGATCTTTACCTTTAAGTTATTTTTTTAAAACATGAATCCCTTTAACTACGTAACATAGTAACCTATTTTATTTTAGACGAGATAACTGTGTTTTCCTTAGTGAAGCATTTCGCACGAAAACAAAACCTAAATCTAATCTATATTTTGTCTCGTTTTGACAAGTCAAAAGAAAGAATCTTATTTGACACTTGATCATGACCGTTGATGGCATAGCGATCAGCAAACTCGACGAGCTCAACGCGTTTCGTATTTCATTTCACAGACTTCAACAAAACTTGATTATGTTCATCACATTCTGGGTAAATAATTGAAGGCCTCTTGTACGATCTCTGACTAACCTCTCCTCACTTGTTTAAACAAAATTATATAATTGTGTCTTATCTACCCATGGTGGCTACATCTGTATTAAAGGGAGTGTGTCATGGCAAATACTGGTTAACGCCGTCTACGTCTTCTTTTGGACAACTGCACGTAAACGAATGTACTTGATTAACTGGGTCAGTGCGCGCTAGCATTGGCGAAACAGACCGAAGTTCTCCTCACGCTTCGGTTTCGCATATGTTGCACGCACGCGAATGCTGCGGTCGCGTTGTCCGTAGTCGTATAATACCCGACTGACCCAGGGTAGGGCCACGGGAAAGACACATAGACTCGTCATGACACACTCCCTTTAAAACTGCTCTTCATGTGAGCCCTTCAATTGGTTATTACCCCGCTATTGCCAGGTACCCAATTACACGTGGGTGGAGACTGACAAATGTGGATTAATGTTTTGCCAAAGGATTTCAGTGGAGGGCTGGGATGCGAACCCTTAACCCTTGAATTGAGAGTCAAGTGAATTAACCACTATACCACCTCCAAATGTTTTCTCAACAGATTCTTCATCTTTTTTCCCGTCTTCCCTCGCCAGCTTTTCCTTTTCCCCCTTTTCTATCCTTAGGTTTATAATTGTAAATAATAAGTTATGTATATCTAGATTTTAACTGCACTATTGTAAACGATCCATCTCCCATTATATTTGCAAATCGTTGATCCTTGTTGTACTTGTCATGTTTGGGGAATGCACAGTATTCTTTAATGCCATCTTTTAATACAGCACCTATGTAAAATTTGTGTCTATCAGCCGATGACTGATTTTGTAAGGATAGGCCCATAATTATTATAAATAAAGGAACAAACGAATGAATGAATGAATGAACGATTGAACGAACGGACGGACGAACGAACGAACGAACGAATGAATAGGGACTTTTAGATTTGCTCAACGACAACGTGGATTGCTACGATCGATGTCCTTTTAATGCACTACCTTGAATGGACGTCACACGTATCAGTCCACGCAAATCTAAAAGTCCCTAATGAGTGAATGAACGATCACGAAGGTTTAATTGAATGAATGTTTAGATTAATGAATTGACCGATGTTTTCTGTGAGCAAATAGTTACAATTTTCTTCCCATCTCTCATTTTATTTTATAGTTGTGATAGTCTGGAGTGAGGAGTACCATGTTTCCAGATTATTACATGCTGTTCAGAGGAAGAATGTGGAGAATCATTTCATCTGGATCGGCAGTGATTCGTGGAGTGGCAGACAGTATCAGACACTCAACAATGAAGCAGCATTAGAGGGCGCCATTACGTTTCATCCAACAACCAAACCAATCGATGGTAAGAATGGAATCTAGCTCGACTGTCCATGAAGCAAAAAGGATTATGATATCAGGAGATGCTAATCAAAACTCAGATTAATGAAAGGTCCACTATTATGTTTTAAAATACAATGAAAAAGGGGGAGGCACCTAATTATGGCAAAGGGGGTGGAGAGACAGGTTATATTGTGATTTTCGTATCGAGCACTTACGACTGATAAGTTGATATCTATTTATTTCAAGAAAAACTAATGTAATAATTGTTTTACCTCCCCACACATCATGTATATGTGTAAAATATCTGTGTTCCATTCCAAAAATCTTCATATATCATTTTTAATTTCTGCCAGATGACAAAGAGGGACAACCGTATTACTGTCTCTTTATGTTATATTATGTTGTAAAATGACTGTTATCTTTCCAATTTCCCCTTCATAATAGGTTTTGACGAGTATTTCACTAGTCTGCGCCCATTGTCGAACCGCCGTAACCCCTGGTTCTTAGAGTACTGGGAGGTCCTACACAACTGCACGTGGTCCAACACTGATACCATCGCTAGCCACAACCGCGTGGTTCATCGACCACCGTATCGCACCGTGTTTCCTCGCCGCTGCACGGGAAACGAACGTCGCCATCTCTCGTTGGACGACTACCAGCAGCTTTTCCAGCTTCAGTTCGTGGCCGACGCCCTGCTGGCCTTCGCCTACGCGCTCAAGGACATGCATGCGGACCTGTGCGGAGTGGAGACGCCAGGACTGTGTGATCGCATGCGACCTGTTCAAGGCGGTCTCCTCAAGAAATACCTGAGCAAAGTGCAGTTCAAAGGTATGTCGCCGATCCATTTGTCTTCAGTTTAACTAGTGTAGTTAGAGTACGTTTATGCTCGACTTTTTCTAGCCAGAATGAGGCATTTGTTACGCGTTTAGTTCAAAACACGGTTGCGTCCTTCCTCATTTCTGTAGAATCACCGAAAAACGGCGATCGTAATCGCCGATCGTAAACTCACAAAAAGGTGCGTTTTGGATCGGCGATTCTGAAGAAGCATAATCGCACAATCATTTGTTAACGCGTTTAAATGGGGTCAACGTAGCATGCGCAGTGCAGGTTTGCGAATCCAGCTGCAGAGCCAGAATCGTGCCCGGAGGAGCCAGAGAAGTGAGCATAAACAGTACACCGTGGAACTGCGATTATGATAAGCGTTTACGATGGGCGTTTCAAGTCGCTCATTCTGCCTTCAAAATTGAGCATAAACGCACCCCAAGTCACTCATAGCCCATACCTCACTGCCAAAGTGATTTTTGTTTTCATCCATTGAAAATTTTCATTGTCTTATGGAAGTATTTAAGTCTTGATGAGATGACGAAACGATCACCTGGCGTCAAGTTCTTTACAAGGACGGGATACCAGTTATTATGAGACCAAGGAGTTCAACTCCTTAATCAGCCAAGGCCAAGGTCTAGCTAGTACAAGATGCCGGATCAATGTCCCGTTGCACAAAACTTACCATTGATGGTAGATTTGCCATCATTGGCAACTGTCATGGTAACACGGTTCAACAGCCAATCAAAATCAAGGTTTCCATGGTAGTTACCATCAATGGTAAGTTTTGTGCAACGGGGCCCAGACTTGATGTATTCTCATTCAAATGAACTTGAAAGAATTATGGGTTTCGTTTTCTTTTCTTAAGGTTTTGATTTTACCAGATCTAATTATTCATTTTAAGAATCAACTTTGAATTCGGTACCGACACAGTCATGAGGAGATAAACTGAAAACGACCCGAAGATTATTTTTTAAGATTAAACTCCTTTATGTAACTAGACATGCAACCAATCAATGAATTAACTATATGTTACAAAATACACTAATGATATCGACAGAATAATTTGACCGGAGTTTTTCTTCTCGCTCCACTTATTCTTACTGCTTTTCTTCTTCTTCTTCTTCTTCTTCTTCTTCTTCTTCTTCTTCTTCTTCTTCTTCTTCTTCTTCTTCTTCTTCATCTTTTTCTTTTTTTCAAAGTAGTATATGTAAATCAGAAGTATGATTAAAAACAAATATGTTTAATCCCATTCGATTTTGTCCTCTCTGTAAGTTACTTTCATGCTTTAAAATCTTTGGTTTCTACTTCTGCATAATTAAGTGTGATCACGTCCAAAGGTGACGTCTGAATGATACTCAACTAACGGAAGTTGTTCTATAAAATAGATTTCCCTGAATCATTCATCTCCTCGACCTACTCATAGCTGCTATTCTTGGCTGCGCAGGTTCCGCGTTTAGAAGAACTCGCGGAGATGACGTCCTTTCAAGTTATTCCCATACAGAAGTGATATTCTGAACAATACTGTATTTTGGGATGCTTTATTTTCAAATCACGTCCAGATACTTCCTGGCTTTCTACGTACACACACCCCCTTTATTTCAATTCGTTTTCTCTTTTTCCCCCTTTTTTTCCTTTTTTTTTTTTATTGCTTAAAATTTATTTTTCCACCATCACCAATTCTAATTAGTCACAAAGCAACTATGTATTCATACTTGCCATCGCAGTCGATCCTTCTCTTCTTCCTCTTCCTCTTCCTCTTCCTCTTCCTCTAACATTTGTTCAATATTTCCTTCTCTCTTATTACTTCCCTCTCTATCTCTCTCTCTCTCTCTTTCACTCACTCCCTCTACCTCTCTAACGCACTCTCTCTCTCTCTCTCTCTCTCTCCCACTTTCCTCTTTCCGTCTCCTTTTTCTCCAGCTAACCATGTTTATTATTGCCTATTTTCCACCCTTCTTTCCTCACTGCTTCCCTGTCCTATCAGTTATTAATTAATTTATTCCAAAATAACATTCAATTGTTTCTTCGCCACTATTTTGTGAATTTCAGAACGCCACAAAGCCAAACTAGGATGTTTCACTAAACCCCTGATATATGTTTTGTTCTTTTAATCTTTTAATCTATAGGTATAACGGGTGCACAGTTGAGCTTTGATGAAGACGGCGACGGCCCCGCACTCTACACCTTGCTCAACTACCAGCAAGTCAGTCCCGGGGTGTACAACTATGTGACCATTGGACACTACTCTGACAAGATCCATTTGAACGGTTCTCAGCCCCAGTTCAAGTTGTTCTCGCCAGAATACCCTACGTCGGCCTGCGGCGTGCCATGCAAGCAGTGGGAAGTCAAGGTGGTCCTGGAGGATAAGTGCTGTTGGCGCTGCGAGCCATGTGGTGATCTGAGCAGTCCACATTACCTAGTTGATAGAGAGACGTGTGAACAGTGCGAGGAAGGAAGCAGGACCAATGCTTCCTACACGGGGTGTGATCTGGTGCCAGCGGTGCCCATTCTACCAACCGGATGGGCCATACTGGTTATTGTCTTCGCAAGCTTGGGGATACTCACAACTGGCATCATTGGTCTCATCTTCAGACGCTATCGGATGACGCCGCTTGTCAAGGCATCGGGCAAGGAACTCATGACTGTGCTCCTGTTCGGCGTCTTGATGTGTTACATCATATCAATCTTGTTCTTTGTTCCTCCAAACTTCATTGTCTGTGGTCTGCACCAGCTCTTGATGTCGCATGGATTCACAGTGTGCTACAGCGCCCTCCTCGTCAAGACCAACCGCGTTCATCGGATCTTTCAGAACGGTCGGTCAACGCCCAAGCGACCTGAATTCATCAGCCCAATATCTCAGGTCATAATCACCGTCATTCTCATCGGTGTGCAGGCGATACTGTCCGCGGTTCTGATGGCTGCCAATCCACCTCATGTTGTCCGATCCGGGGCTAATGATGGTGAGGTTTACTTGGTGTGTCATTGCTTTGTTGATCACTTCTCGCTACTCAACATGGCTTACCCCATACTCCTCATGCTCTTGTGTACGGCATATGCGTTCCTCACTCGTAAAATACCCGACCAGTTTAACGAAGCCAAGTTCATTGGATTTACTCTGTACACCACTTGTATCGTTTGGCTTGCTATGGTGCCAATTTACATCTTGACGGCATCCAACCTAAAGCTTCGTCTCATCAGCGTCAGCTTCGCCGTCTGCCTCAGTGCCACCGTCAGCCTCGCGTGCCTTTTCGCGCCCAAAGTCTACATCATTCTTTTAAGACCCAAACGCAACGTGCGTATGAACAACGCCGCCATGAAACACGCCAACAACTGTCATCATGTCGTGTCCCAATCGGCACTTTCACACACGTGTAGCAACCAGGATGAGTCGACACCCGACGAACATGAACATGAACAAGAAATGCTCTGACAAAAGGCCGATATTGTGGGGCATTTTGTTTCGTCTCCTACTTCCACCTTTCATTGCCTTCTAAAATCCAATGCAAGAACGTCATAGCACAAAGTCATTTCTTCAGTTTTTGAGAATGGATCAATCTTTTTTTGAAGACATTCGTGTTATCTCTGCTGGTGAACATAGAATGTAAACTATGTCTATAAGATAAACCATTGCACGTACTCTACAACCCGACTAAAACTTGGGGAAAAAAAAAACATCGCGATATTGATTTTAGAAATGTTATTACATCCGGGATAAGGACCAGAACGATGTTGCAAAAATAACAAGGGGTAATTTAAAGGATTTTGTCAGAGAAAAAGTCTAATCGGCTACGTGTTAGAGGGGATTCTGGTGACCGCATGTTGTTATTCATGTGCGATTCGCAGTCGATCGGGACTTTATATTAGGGACTTTTAGATTCGCACGAAGACAATAGGTCTATGCTACGATCGACGTCCTTTTAATGCACTGCCTTGAATGGACGTCACACGTATCAGTCCACGCAAATCTAAAAGTCCCTACTGACTAACAAAAGTCGACTGTGTTAATTCTTTTTTGTCGGCCAAAACTGGTAAAGACTTCACAGCAAAAATAGGTAAATAAATGAATGAATAAATGTCATTTGGTACAGGTTATTACCATTATATGGCATTACATTTCTTCAATGTTGAAGAAATGTTTTTTTTTTAATGTTTTTTGTTCATGTCCTATTGCAACAACTTTCATACGATTGAACGTTGAGCCGTGATCTTTGCAGTAGCCTTACAAAATTGCTTACTTGTCAAAATGTACATAACATTGTAACAAATGACCATATGATATTTGTATATCTACTGGATTATTGAGACTGCCTTTCATAAAATGTCCACAACTACAAAAAGACGAAAAGAGAAGTATTGTGTGCGAGTAATGTCTTGAATGGTAAATGAACATGTCGGCTTTCATCTAACTTTCGTTTCAAGTGTTTTGTCGAAAAGATGAATACCAGCAAGCTGATTTAAGACAAATCGAATTAAACTATTTCCAGTTATGACAATAAGCAATGCGGGATTTTACATTTATTGTACCTCATATAACAGAAAACGAAACATACCGCAAGGTTTCTGCATCAGATGGAGATATTCATTTATAGGCTCGTTTAGGTACGACGCGGTAAACCGTCGTAGAAAAAGACGTATAAATGAATGGCAAGTGCGCGCAACACCGGTCATGCGCGTATTCGGTGAGCTCTTACGCATTAAGTGAAGCGTTTCGTCATCCTTTAAAAAAAAACGCCGCGGTCAACGAGCCTCTAGTGTGTTATGAGGACTCTACGCCTATTTTTGTACATAATTTGGCTGTTGGTTAATTGGGGAAAAATTATTTCACCGGGTGTTATGTTTCTTTATATTTATCAGGATTTATCCCCATGCTGCCGGTTGCACTTCAAATGGAATTGCACCTTGTTATTTTAAATAGTTTTCGAGTTACGAATGTAGTAATCTATCACCTTCATCTAGTGAATGCTTTTTAATAGATGCACTTGATTTAATGTTACGCATAAGGGGTTTATTGTGGTATTTTATTCACCATCGGGGAAAGCCATAAAATGTTATATTTTTCATAACGATTTTTATTCTTAGGCTAACCCAAAGTATACAGGAATATTTTGCAAGATCTTTTCTTTTATCTTTTTCTATAACGAGAACCGTATTACCTACCAGGAAGGTAATAACAATGAACTGTCTAAATAATGTACAATACAATGTATGATGGAATGACCAAAGTTCGCGGAGATTTTTTTTTTGAAATATAAGGAAATGTGATATTCGATCCATGATTTCTCATATTCTACACAAATTGATTTAGTTCGATTATCACCAAATTCACTGCAAAGTTTTTTACTACAAATTGGTGCAACTATAGATTTAATGGTCAAAGAAAGAACATTCGATGTCAAATCGGAAGGCGCTGCAACTGCAATTTGAAAACGAGACATTAATTCGCGCACGAGACTTTAAAGCTGATTTATCACAAAAAGCGATCTATCAGACCGATAATTACATATACTCAGGGGCGGATCTAGCTTTTTGCCAAGGTGGGGGGGGGGGGGGGGGAGTTGACCCAGTGGCGGGTCCAGGATTTTCTAAAAAAATCGCACCGTTTTACTGTTTTACTTTTTTATCCCCCCCCCCCTTTTTTTTGTGTTCACTTGGCCGCCCAAGGGGGGGGGGGGGTAAACCGCCGAACCTCCCCCCCCCCCCCTCCTAGATCCGCCCCTGATATTGCAAGGCAAATTACCATACCATGAGTTGGTACCACTTTTTACTGACAATCTTGATGACTTCTGCTCTCAGAATAAAGATTTCCAGACCCTTGTTGGTAAGTTATATTTTTATGGAACGGACGCAAAAGACTGCAAAATTTGCCGATCTTTTGTCGATATTTTCATAATTTCACACCCAATTCCATAGAAATTTTGTTTCTGGGTAATTAAAGGTTCCTCTTTCCTTTGGTGATATCAGATTTTTGAAATCTTATCGATTTTTCTAACCGAACTATATCACGCGCGTACTATATGGTCACACCCCCATTAATCGAAGCGTTCGATACCCTAATAGTATGTGAAAGGATGTCGATAAATATACAAAGGACCTTGTTTAAAAATAATAAAGTTATGTAATTACTACATGTCGACCACTGTTACACTATTTTTTATTAATGTTGAGTTTTGAATAACGTGTAAAGACGTTGAATTGTTATGCACTGATTTTAGTTCATGGAAATGTAAATTCATTGTTATGTTTGTGCAATATAGATGCTTAAGTTTGTCACGTACATATTATTGTATATCCTGAAGTTTATCGTATCAAATACCACTGAAAATCTCAGAAATGTCTATAATATTAATAAAGCCATGAATAAAGTTCTGTCATATTTACGTTCAAGACATGCGGCAAATCGGGAGATATCTGCAGCAAATCGCTTAGAGGATTGCGTCTGTATGACCCATGTTGTATGGCGACTATTTTCCCTTGGTCACTATATCCTATACTAACTGAAGTCACAACTTCAATCCTGGATTAAATACTTCACCTAACCCTAACCCTACACCCAACATAACTCAGTTGAAGGAGGCGCGATAGCTCAGTCGGTAGAGCAGTGGTCTCGTGATCCGGTTACCCGGGTTCGAAACCAAGTCGATGCGCTATAGTGCCCTTTGGTAAGGCATTAATCCTCATTACCAGGTCTCTCGGAGAGGTCCTAAAGCCGTCGACCGTCTGGTTGCTTACTAACAAGCATTTATGCTTTCTTAGCAGTCAGGTAAAATAACCACCACCACATTCAGTTGCAGCCCTATAACCATGATCCTATATCTTTGAAGAAATGCACCCAAAGCATATTATGTCGATCGCTGGAACATATTCATGTCAGATCAACGTTGATTGCAAATCGGTAGTTACTACAGACAAACCTGCTTTAGTTACCACCTGTCTACAAAGACCACATTTTATTTGTTTCCCTTTAAAATAGTTTATCATTGAAACATGTACCAATGGAACCTGAAAATAAGGACTACCTGCCTATAAAGACCACTTTTCATGTCTCCCTTAGGTGGTCTTTCTAGACAGGTTTCACTTTAGTATGATGGGGGTCGGGTATCCGGACACATAAAAAAACATAAAACCTTCTCTTTTGCCTTCGTATTTAATGAAAAGTATTCATCAAATAACATTAACTATGATGAATATTTGCCCTTTATAATATTGTTCAACATAAGATTTATGAAACATTGATTGTAAAATTCTTCGAATTGCTGTTCCAAATCAGGCGTCCGGACACAACGTTTGTGGATATCGTCTCCATAATATGTTTTAGTGAATGAAGCACCTATGATTATTATGGACGGTATAATTATTGTTATCATTAAATACATTATTTTCTCGCGTCTTACAACCTTTTACTAAGATTATGTATCAACAATTTCTCCGGAATTCTACTGCTGTTTGGTGGAAGGAAAATTTGAGCTCTCGATTATGTCAATGATACTCTGTATTTGTTTTTATTTTTAATAAAATAATTTTGTTGTCAATTTATATTGTCCTATGCGTAATATCTAGAGTCCGTTTCAAGTATTATATTGACGTAATACGAATTCTTTTTATACCGAAACTTTTTTTTCTTCTTAAAAAGAATATTTTTTAAAGGACCAAAGGGTCGTCAAATGGCATTTGGGGGATTCTTAATTTTGTTTGCATGATTTTTTTTTTCTTCCTTCCTTCCATCCTGCTACTTCCCACTGACAAAGTTCCGTGTCCGGGCTATTAGATGGGGTGAAATTAAATTATGTCTATAAGATTCTCGTAGGAAAACATCCGTAAAGAATAAGAAGCTGAAGATGAAGACGAGACTCCGCGTACTCAATGGACGTGAAGCTTGGACCCTGACATCAGTCCTAAGAAAGCGACTGAAAAGTTGTGAAGTTTGGTTCCTGAGAAGGATGCTTAGAATGTCATGGATAGAAAGAGTTTCTAATGAGGCATTTGCCATGGCAGGAACAAGACGAAAGCTTCTGAATAATATAAAAGTTCGACAGCTGAGCTTCTTGGGTCATGTTAATTCGAAAGAATGGTTTGTAAAATCTTGTACTGACTAGAAAAATAAAGGGGAGGAGGATATAGGGGTAGGAGGATTCTGTGGATGAGTAGCTTAAGGAGTGGGATTTTCTTAAAGTGGAATTGATCTCGGCAGGGGCGGCGATTTCTTTAAATGACCGGGGGGGGCAAAATGCGAGGGGCAAGGGAGCCGTGACGTAATGAGCAACAACAAAAAAATGGGCAGAAAAAAATCCGCATCACCCTCACTTTAAAGGTACAATGTCCCTTTTGCAGCCAACCTCAAATTCTGTAGAACTTTGCAGGAATTATGAATATGTCATGTATGTCCTATCTGTGAAATTTAAACGTTAGCAGTGTCCTCATATTCAAATTATGCAAGGAAACCCGTTTACTTGCTAGACTTCACTGTCAGACACTATTGAGTGACTGACTGGCTCTGTTTCTTCTTTGGTAATAACATACATGACAAGAGTTGTAAAGGGTACATGAGCATTTGTCTACATCAATAACCCACTTCTTGTGATGGCCAAGATTAAACTGATTGAATCTTTGCGCA